GGGTGAAGGTGGGGGAATGAGAGTAAAAAACGGCCTCTGTTCGTGTTTGTTTAAAAGGATTCAATCTTCTCATTTATGTAACTGAAGCTGTAAACGGAAATATTATTGGGAGCTTTATGAGGGTACGATGTGTCCACATATACATTTATTTCTTTTATATAATTATATATATATATATATATATATATATATATATATATATATATATATGTGTGTGTGTGTGTGGTGTGTGTGTGTGTGTGTGTGTGTGTGTGTGTGTGTGTGTGTGTGTGTGTCATACATACACATTTACATAATATATAATATCTATCCAGTTATATGTTCATTTCCATATTAATTCATTCACCTCCTGAATGCCCAATTTCGCAATTCATTCCCCAATGAACGGGGCGTTACGTGCAGTTTTCACGGCTTTCACTGAATACAGGATAATCACCGACATAAAATGTGCATCAAGTCAACCTTTCAGAAACACCAAGGCAGCGTGAACGTGACTCCACCTATACCTTCGTGAACACTCTAAAAAAAAAAAAAAAAAAAAAGGTATGTTAGACTGAATGACCTCAGGGCAAAGCAGAGCAGCATTTGATGTTATTTGGATTGAGGTTCCTATCTTTCGTTTTCTTTTTTTTTTTCTCTTTTTTCTCCCTACCCTTTTTTTCTGCTTCCCATTCTTTCCCTCTCTCCAACATTTTCTCTCTTCCATTCCTGTTCCTTCTTTCTCCTTCCCCATCCCCCTTTCCCCCTTTCCCCTTTTCCCTTTCCCTTCCTCGCATTCTCCTTCTTTCTCTCCTTCTCCTACTCTTACCCTCCCTCCTTCCCTTCTCCTTCTCCCTTTCTCTTTTTCCCTCCCCTCCTATCCCCATCTTTCCTTTTGCCTCTCCTCTTCTTCCTACTTTCTTTCTTCTGTCCTTCTTTCTCTTTCTCTTTCATTTCCCTTCCTCTCCCTCTTCCTCTGCTTTTCTTCTCCATTCCCTCCATCCCTGCCCTTTTTCTCCCTCCCTCTCTCCCTTTTTTCTCCCTCCTTCTCCCTCCCCCTTCTCCCTCTTCCTCTCGACCCTTCGCCTCCCTCTTTTCCCCCCCTCCCTCCCCCTCTCCCCTCTCTTCCTCCCCTCCCCCCCCTCCCCTCCCCCCCCTCCCCCTCCCTCCCTCCCCCCCCCCCCACCCCGAAGCAAGAGATAAGCCCCCGAACAACAAGGTCACAGCTTGACTTCATTATCCCTCCCCCGTTATGCGTCCCCCCCCCCCGGCCTCGTCATTGATAACCCCGATGACCTTTATCCCCCTCCCCCCTCCCCCCAAAAAAAAAGGTCGTGGGGGGGGGGGGTGCAAGAACGGATATTAAGGGGCGGGGCGTGGGCGTGTGAGTGCAAAAAAAAGTGGTTCTTATGAGCGTGTGGGTCTGTCGTCGCAGGGAGTGAGGAGAGTTAAGCGCCCATCAGAGGTCCTTAATGTGGAAGGTCAGAAGGTAAAGGTTTATTTTTCTCCTGAGCGTTGGCAAGCAGTAATCGAAGTAAAAAGACGATCGCAAAATAAATAAATAAAAAAAATGTGATATTAGTTTTTTTCAAGTAAAAAAGACGATCGAAAATAAATAAATAAAACAAAAAGTGATATTAGTTTTTTTCAGAAGTAAAAAGACGATCAAAAAAAAAATAAAATAAAAACAAGTGATATTAGTTTTTTCAGAAGTAAAAAGACGAAGCAAAATAAACATTAAAAAAAAACAATATTATACTTCCTTTACATTCTTCCGTTATACCATTATACTACTTACCACCATCGCCATGAAACTAAATCCTCATCGCCATCACCGTTGCCAAAACAATAACCCAACGACGTCCTCCCAGCGCATTCCTCTGCCATGATGAATAATAACCTCAACCACCATCCTCATCATCACAATCTTAATCACCCTTAATTAACTATTCAAATCTCCCTCTGCGCCGAGACTTAAGAAAACATTCAGCGGTCAAGTCCTTAGCGAGAACAGCGACAGAAAAAAATATATGTAAACGCGGAAAAGAAAGTCGTAAAAGGACTCGCCTAATTGCAGGAGCCGCGTGAGTAAACAACAACAAAACATAAACTAGAAAAGCGAAAAATAAATATTAAAATTAGGGAGGGAGGGAGGGAAAGAGAGAGAGAGAGGAGAGAGAGAGAGAGAGAGAGAGAGAAAGAAAGAAGAAAGAAAGAAAGAAAGAAAGAAGAAAGAAAGAAAGAAAGAGAGAGAGAGAGGAGAGGAGAAGAGAGAGAGAGAAGAGAGAGAGAGAGAGAGAGAGAGAGAAAGAAAGAAAGAAGAGAGAGAGAGAGAGAGAAAGAGAGAGAGAAAGAGAAAGAGAGAGAGAGAGAGAGACAGAGAGAGAGAGAGAGAGAGAGAGAGAGAAAGAGACAGACAGACAGAGAGAGACAGACAGACAGACACACAGAGGCAGAGACAGACAGACAGAGGCAGAGACAGAGAGAGAACCAACGAGACCAAAGCACAGAAAGAGAGAAAAAGAACGACCCTTGCTCCTCCCCGCGCGCGCGCACACCGTCGCCCAAGCCCGCCGCCGCCCCCTCGCGGGACCAGCCGCCTCGAGACACTTCCGACCAGACCAGTCCCTCGCCCGCCCTTACAAGGAGGTCGGACTCGGACTCGGGGACCCGGGCAGCGGCGGCCAATTAGGAGCCCGGTTCGCGACACATTCGAACGCGCGCTCCGTGAAGCCTGAATGGGTTTAAGGGTGATTATGATGGCAGTTTTGTGGAGAGTTCTGCTCTTGGTTTGAGCGCCGGTGGGTGGGGTCTGGGACGGGCGAGAGGGTTGACGTTTCTGCCATTTACCCTGTTTTTTTCTCTAGATTTAATCTCTCTTTTTCTGTCTCTCTGTGTGTGCTTGGGGTCTGACTCTCTTTTCCTTTCTCTTTCTTATCTTTCTATTTTCGCCCTCTCTCTCTCTCTCTCTCTCCTCTCTCTCTCTCTCTCTCTCTCTCTCTCTCTCTCTCTCTCTCTCTCTCTCTCTCTCTCTCATCTCTCTCTCACACATCACACACACACACACCACACACACACACACACACACACACACACACACACACACACACACACACCACAACACACACACACACACACACACATACACACATACACACACACACAATATATACATATATATATATATATATATATATATATATATATATATATATATAACACATCTATCACATTAAACCCCTTAACCACAAGAAAAACATAAGAATATCTCCATCCTCTCTCGCGAACCTACACCCCCGTTTCCCGACATTTTCCCCTTCCGAAAACACCGAAAAATTACCCAAGAGAAAGTCAAACAACACTGTACACACAACTCTCTCGCGAAGACCAAAAAAAAAAGGGGTAAATTTCCACGCACTCCTATAGACGCCCATATAAGACCCGAGAGAGAAACTGGAAAGCTCATCAAACGCTGGAGTGCGTCGTAAAAAAAGATAAAAAACTAAATCATTCATTCTAAAAGTGTAAGCTCGCGGTCACTGCCATATATGGAAGCGACCTCATCCCTGCAACCTTCTGATGGACTCGGCACCTCACACAAAGTGCTCTCTCTCTCTGTTTCTTTCTGTGCTTGTCTGCCTGCCTCCCTTCTGTCTGTCTGTCTTCCTGCTTGCCTACCTGTCTGTCTGTGTCTGTCTATCTGTCTGCCTTCTGTGTGTGTGTGTGTGTGTGTGTGTGTGTGTGTGTGTGTGTGTGTGTGTGTGTGTGTGTGTGTGTGTGTGTGTGTGTGTGTGTGTGTGTGTGTGTCTGCCTGCCTCCTGTCTGTCTGTTTCTGCCTGCCTGCCTGCCTATCTGTCTCTTCTCCTAGTCCTCCTCCTCCTCGTTCTATCAATTTCCCCCCAACCCGCAAAATCACACAAGCAAGGGAGTTGGACGTGCAGGGCGAGAATAGGAAGAACAAGACATAAGGGAGCTGGACGCGTAGGGTGAGTATAAGGGGAGGAGGATAAGGCAGGAGGGGGTCTACGGCTACCTATGCTAATTAGAGGCTGGGTCGTGGCGTCCGGGGCTGATAATGACATCCCCGCGTCGCTCAGACAAAAAAAAAAAAAAAAAAGGAAAAAAAAACTCGCACCATTTCTTTATTACTCGCAGGTCTGGGCGAAATATGTTTTCCTTCTGATCAGGTTTCATCAAACTGTAAATATACGAATGAGTTTCGCTTGCCCTATTATTTTCTGTCTGTCTGTCTGTCTGTCTGTCTGTCTGTCTGTCTCTCTCTCTCTCTCTCTCTCTCTCTCTCTCCTCTCTCTCTCTCTTTCTCTCTCCCTCTCCCCTCTCTCTCCTCCCTCCCCTCTCTTTCTTCCTCTCTCCCCTCTTCCTCTCAAACACATAAATACCCTCACAATGCAACGGACAACACTACATGGCACTTATGACACTATTGTTAAAGCGACGCGCTCCTTTTTCTCAAGAAAAGCCTTTGTAATTCATACAAAGCCAGTTCACGTAACGGAGGCCAGTCGACAGAAGGCCAAAGCCAGTCCACATAACAACAGAACTAATCTACATAACATCAGTTCTATTCCACACAACACAAAGTCCGGTCCACATAACACCAAAACTAATCCGCATAATGCAAAACCTAGTCCACATAACACCAGCGCACACAGAAGTTCCTATTCCACATATCATTCCCCACTCCACACAACAGCCCCCACTCCACATACCACTACTCCTCATAACAGCCCCCACTCCCCACAACACAGCCCCCCACTCCACATAACAGTCCCCACTCCCCATATCAGCCCCCACTCTCCACCACACACGCCCCTCCCCACTCCCACTGCCCCCCACTCCCCACAGTCCCCCACTCCCAACAACACAGCCCCACCCCACACAACACAGCCCTCTCACAACACAGCCCACTCCACACAACACAGCCCCCACTCCCACACACAGCCCCCACTCCACACACACAGTCCCCACTCCCATATCAGCCCCCACTCCCCACCACACAGCCCCCACTCCCCATATCAGTCCCCACTCTACACAACACAGCCCCCACTCCCCATAACACAGTCCCCACACAACACAGCCCCCACCCACACAACACAGCCCCCACTCCCCACAACACAGCCCCCACCCCACACAACACAGCCCCCACTCCCCAACAGCCCCCAACCCCAGCATCCCCAGCCCAAGAACCTTCACCTATCTCCTCCGCGGCCGAGGCTGCCATGATCCCCGTCGGCAAGGAGATCCGCCACCTTATTTGGGCGTCGGATCCTGCCTTGAGAGCAATGCAGTCCTCCTTCCAGCTCTCCTGAATGAAAACTTAATTAATCTTAAACTTTCCTTTCTCGCTCTCGCTCTCTCTCTCTCTCTTTCGTTCCCGCCCCATTTCTCTCTTTTTTCTCATTCATTCTATACTAATCCACTTATGTACCTACGTACCTGTATATCTATATACCTATGTCTTTATCTCTATATTCGTTTCCATATTCTCGCTTTCTTTCTTTCTTTTCTTTTATCTCTTCCCATTTTCTACACTCGTTTCCTCCCTTTTTCTCTTCTCTCCTCTACCCTTCTCTTCCCCCTAATATCCCTCTCCTCACCCCTTCTCCTCCTCGAACTTTTTCCTCCCTCCTCTTCTTCTTCTCCTATCCCTATCCTCCCTCCTTCCTCTTCTTCCTCCCTACCTTCCCCCCTCCCTTTCTTTCCTCCCTCCCCTTACCCCTACCTTCCCTCCTCCTCCTCCTCTTCCCTCCCTTCCCCTACCCTACCCTTACCCTCCCTCCTCCTCCTCTCTCTATACCCCTCCCTACCTCCTCCTCCACCTCTTCCCCTCCCTTACCCCTACCCCTCCCTCCTTCCCTCCTCCTCTCTCTCTTCCCCCATTCTCATCCTCTCGACTCCTCCCTTCCCCGCGGCTCCCTCGTACGCGCGCTTGGCCATTAAACCGCAGTTGTAACATATTTTTTTCCCCTCCTGAATCTCCGCAAGCTATGCCTCCACCTCGCCAAAACGGGTTGATTTATGGCTTATCATCTGACAAGAGTCTATAGATATGCATATATTTACGCCTGATTTGTAAACATCCGTTGGTATTATATAATCCGCTCGGCAAGTCAGACCTATCAGATCGCGGTGATTTATGGCTTATATACCGAGCCAGTTAAAGAGGTGAATATACTATGTTGTAAATTGGCGAAGGATATAAATATGTATCCTCTAAACGCCCTCCCTGTGAGTAGCCTTAATGGGACGGCTATTACACGCTCTCTTCTGGGAATTCGAGACTCGCTTCCTCTGTCTCTGACTCTCGCCCATCTTCTTTCTCTTTCTCTTTCTCTTTCTTTCTCTCTCACTCTCTCTTTCTTTCTTTCTCTCTCTCTCTCTCTTTCTCTCTCTTCTCTCTCTCTCTCTCTCTCTCTTTTTCTTTCTTTCTTTCTTTCTTTCTTTCTTTCTTTCTTTCTCTATCTCTCTATCTGTGTGCGCGTGTGTGTGTGTTTATATATATATTATATATATATATATATATATATATATATATATATATATATATATATATATATATATATATACACATGTATGTATGTATGTATGTATGTATGTATGTATGTATGTATGTCTATCTGTCTGTCTCTATGCATCTATATAGAGACATACAGTCTTGCTTTTTTCTCATTCTCTTTCACATATCCTCCCCACTCCCACCCCCTCCCACAAGGTCAGTCGCGTCGTCGGGTCAGCCACTCCGAACCGAAATTCCTGTCGCCGTGCCCCCCACCCCCTCCCCTTCTCCCGCCGCCGACGAGGGAGCCGATAATGCAAGGAGGCCCTGACGACAGCCGCCCTCGCCAGCCTCAAAGGGCGCCGCGCGCTTGTACTCCGCCTGTTGTTTGTTGTTCTCTCGCTCTCCCTCTCTCCTCTCTCGTTCTCCTCTCTTCTCTTTCTCTCCCTCTCCCTCTCCCCCCTCTCCTCTCCCTCTCCCTCTCCTCTCCCCTCCCTCTCCCTCTCCCTCCCCTCCCTCTCCCCTTCCCCTCCCTCTCCCCTCCCCCCCTCTCTCCCTCCGACGCCATCGGATACAACTTGCAATCTTTTTTTCTTTACTCGATGAGTTCCTATGGCCGCCAGGAATGTTAACCTCTCCCCCACTGCAACCAAGGCCCAAACACCGCCCACAATACCAACCACCCTAACACCCACTCAACCAACCTATGACCCATCCACCCACCCACAATACCCGCACACCAATACCCACATGCCTCACACAACCACCTGCAGACTTCCCCCCTCTAACACTCCAAACATTCTACCCACATAAACTCGCACGCACCCGCATAACTCACTCCCAACACCCGCTCATCCACACTACCCACCAACCCACCCACTCATCCACATAACTTACCCACCCACCAGGAAAATCCGCACATTTACCAACCCCATAAACCCACTCACCCATCTTTTTTTCTCTTCTTTTCTCTCTTCCTATTTTTCTACTCTCGTTTCCTCCCTCCTTCTCTTCTCTCTCTCTACCCTTCTCTTCCCCCTAAAATCCCTCCACCCCTTCCTCCCCCAAACCCACCCACCCATCAACCCCACAAACCCACCTACCCAACAACGCCCTAAAGCCCAAAACAACCCACCCACCCCAACAACCCCTAAATCCCACCCATCCTACCCACCGAAGAACAGCAAAAAAAAAAAAGAAAACAATAAAAGCAAAATATAAATAAAAGCAACACAAATAAATAAATAAATAATAAATAAATAAATAAATAAATAAATACACAAAACAAATAAGGAGCTACTTAAAAGGCCTCCCAGGGGACACAAGCAAACACGACAAGACAAGCCAAGACAAGCCAAGACAAGCCAAGACAAGACAAGACAAGCCACTGTTGACCCAAGCACGTCGCAAGCATTCGCTAATTGTCGCCAAGAGTCACGATCGGCCAATCACAAAGCGCGGGCGAGGTCATCCCTGGTCACGACTAGCGCAGGAGGACGGTGGTCAGGACACTACAAGCACGGCACAAGCACTCTCGGTACGCGGAGAGGTCATCCGATAGGAATCTGACACGTGACCCCGAGAAGAGGGACATCCATAAATATGAGGGAAAGGGTCAAGTGTATGTCATTTGGATATGGAAATACGAGAAAAAAATAAAAAGATTAGTGAATAAATAGATAAATACGCACATATTCACACCATACACAAATCTATATACATCACACACACACACACGCACACACACACTAATCAAACACACACACACACAAATAACTCCCTCATAACTAAAATCTAAGCAAGCAAAACTAACAAACAAGCAGACAAACAAACAAACACTATCCCTTCCCGCACGAAGCACCACCCAAAGTCCCACGATCACCACCCCCCCCCCTCCCCCACCCCCCCCTCTCCCACCACCCCCACCCCTCACCCACCCCCACCACCGCCGCTCCTTCCGCACGCCCTCGGGGAATGCAGCTCCAGGATACGGCGGAATGTCCTTCGCTGTCGGACGAAAAAATTCATGCCATGGGAGCGAAAGTCTAGCGGCGGCGGCGGCGGCGAAGGCTCGCATGTGCTTGGAATGTATAATGAAGGCGAGTAGATGCGAGTTGCACAGAGCAGACGCAACTGCAACCGCCCGATTTCATAACAATTCGGAACATATCAAAACATCGCGCGCTGGTACCTTCTGCAATACCAAATAAAACCTGTGTGCAGAAGGCCCGAGAAATAATACTATGCAAAGATATAACATAAGGAACGCATAATAAGTACTCTATAATCCTTCCACACCTTATATACAAAATAACAATACAACGAGAGAGAGAGAGAGGGAGAGGGGAGGAGAGGGAGAGGAGAGAGGAGGAGAGGGAGAGGGAGAGGGAGAGGGAGAGAGAGAGAGAGAGAGAGAGAGAGAGAGAGAGAGAGAGAGAGAGAGAGAGAGAGAGAGAGAGAGAGAGAGAGAGAGAGAGAGAAGAGAAGAGAGAGAAGAGAGAGACAGAGAGAGACAGAGAGAACAGAGAGAGAGAGAGGAGAAGAGAAGAAAAAAGAAAGAAAGAACAACACACAACACGCAGACCACAAGCGCGCGGTGCCCCTCTCACACATTAATATAAACCACAAACAATACTCTAAAAAAAATAATAATAATAATAATTAAAAAAATAAAAAATAAAAATAAAAAATGAAATAAAATCCTAACATGTGTCCGAAATAAACACATCGAATCCGACGGACGGAAACACAGGGTCAAGGCGAACAGGCCGGGTGATCCATCGCCCGCTCAAGGTGCTGCTTGAACTCAACCAAGGAATAGGTGTGTGTGTGTGTGTGTGTGTGTGTGTGTGTGTGTGTGTGTGTGTGTGTGTGTGTGTGTGTGTGTGTGTGTGTGTGTGTGTGGTGTGTGTGTGTGTGAGACTCTGTGTGTGACTGTGCCTGTGACTGTGTGTATGCGTGTGCGTGTGCATACATAAAAAAATAAAAACAATAAAACATAAATAAAAAGGTCACATTAAATAATGACGACCGTAAGAGCTCGTCCGTAAACAAAGCAGCTGCCTCCCTCCGCGGGCGGACGGAGATGCCGCCCACTCTCATGAGTAGCACTTAGCAGCAGGTTCTACTGGGCCAATTTCACACGAGCTCTAAGCCAACGCAAAAGGAATGGCTAATTCGTAAAAAAAAAAGTCAAATAACCACCAGCAAAAACAAAGAAAGTATATATATAAATATATAAATATATATATATATATATACATATATATATATATATATATATATATATATATATATATATATATATTATATATATATATAGAGAGAGAGAGAGAGAGAGAGAGAGAGAGAGAGAGAGAGAGAGAGAGAGAGAGAGAGAGAGAGAGAAAATATTACAATACTCGATCAATATCAAATATTGCAAATATACGAACAAAATAAAACAAAAATATCCCCAGAAAATCATCACCACAGTCCATTAACTTAGATTCCCAAAGGTATTAACACATAAAACAACACTCCCACAGTCTACCTTCCCTACCAAACGCCGATTCCCCAAAGCCTTCTCCTTTGTGATAATAAAAAAAGAAGAAAAATTAATGTTGAATAAAAACTACGTCGTCTTCTCCCAACCATAAGACGGTGAGGGATCTTAAAAAGTTTATAAATATGAGCATCATCTCCTCATGGTTAAAAGCCTCACACTACACAGGCTTATGATTAAGGAAATGCCTCATAACCTATTAGCTAAATATCTCTTACATATTAGTTTCGTATCTAAATAGAAGCCTCATACTGTTCAGGTACATGCCT